ATATTTTGTGCTATGGTATTAGGAAATCAAACACTTAAAAATGTAAATTTAAATTACTGCCTATATGTGTGTGTTTGTTTCTTGTCCCAAATACATTATATTTAGAAGGCCAAAGTCCTAGTCAAAGAAACCCCCCTCAGTGATATCTCATGCCTGAGGTCTAGATAAAAATCTTTATACTATTTGTATTTTAATCCCTAGTTTCATAAAGATATTTGGTTTTTACGTATGAAGAACTATGTTCTAGCTTAAATGACTTAGTTTTTGAAATATTGTTAATACACAAAGCTGTTATGATTTTTTAAAAAGCAAACAAACAAAACATGTTTGAACAACACTTTGATAAGCCAGATATGTACTCTAACCATGGTTAATTTAGCTGATAAGCCGAGGGCAACCCTGAGGTAACCTGCAGACTATTGCTATTTTGTACTGTATAAATGATTTATTTCCTACAATATATTAAAAAACTCCCCTCACTTCCGACCTCCCCTTCCAAAAAGCTTCGTAGGTAAAAAACTGGCCTTCATTCACCACTTCATTCACTATGTCAATTCAGTTGCAAAATCCCATATACTCGCCCCACTGTTCCTGTAGCATCCTCCCTGAATGCAGGACACCAATAAATGACACACAGTCTCAAAATCAGATACAGATACTGTGTCACTGATTCGTATTAGCATGGAGATGAATAGCTAACTATCCAAAAACACACAAAAAATGAACAAAACCTGCCCGGATTGGTTTGGCTCAGTGGTTGGAGCATCAGCCTCTGGACAGTCCCAGGTTCGGTTCCTGCTAAGGGCACGTACCTCAGTTGTAATTTGTCTCCAGCCCTGGTTGAGGTTATGTGGGTGGCAACCAGTCAATGTGTCTCTCTCACATCAATGTTTCTCTCTCTTCCTCCCTCTCTCCCTCTCGCTCTATCTGAAGATAAATGCAAAAATGTCCTCAGGTGAGTATAAAAAATAAAAAAAATAGTAATAAACAAAACCCACAAATGTCCAAAAAATAGAAATCTTTGGTTGAAGTCCAAGGGACAAAGTTAGGTCAATGACCTTTACTGGCCAGCAAACCTGCCCGCATTTGAAAGAGAATGGTCTCGTCTCAGTCCTTTCGTCAGCGGAGTAATAACCTCTGCCACTGGTTTCTGACTTGCTCCCGCAGAGCCTATCAACTCTAGCCACATAGCCCAAGTTGGAGGGTCGTGTTCTCGGGTCTCTCCTCTCCATTCCTCAGCCTCACAAGTTCTAAACACAATGAAGTTCTAAACCAATGGTCCACATTTCTGAACTCTTACTTACAAAACAAAAAAACCATCCATCTTACAGAAAAAGGAATCAAACATGTGAGCTCTGGCCTACTAAGTTCACATGAGCAAAAGCAATCACATTAGTTCTGTATCTATTTGACTCTAATTCTCCAGAAAAGCATGAACCTATACATAATCTTTAGGAAGAAAAAAAAATTCAACAGGACAGTTTTAGTTTGAATATTCTGATTAATGGATAATTTAACACCCTATTCATGAGGATATCTAAGCTCTGGATTTCGATCTGCCTCCTATTTGTTAAATCCTGCCACACTCCTTCAGGCTTAAGAATATGTAGATAGGTACGAAGATAACACCAAGGGTAACTTCTTCACAAGGAAATTCCCAGCTCTTTTTAAACTCAGTTGTTTCAATTAACTTAGTTGTTTTGATGTTAACTCAGCTAACATTCTGTGAGCTTCTCTGAGCACAGGAGGAGCTGCTGGTCAATGAGGATTGTTACCCAAAGAATTTGATGAGAAACATTAAAATCGAGGGCCCCCATTGCAGCAAGTTTTGCTAATGGCATTAAAAGCTAAGGCAGACAATTTTCTACTGTCCCAGTTCTGAAAGGGTCTAATAAAACTCTGTAGAAGGGCTGATGAGCTGGACAAGCGGCCAGAAAGTCATTTCCACTGCAGAGTCCCATGCAGAGAGGCTGCTGTTGCTCACACAGATAATATACGTGACGCCTGCATGTTTTACCTGACTAAAGTACCTCAACTTTAAAAATTTATTGGAGGTTGCCCAGCCGGTGAGGCTCAGTGGTTGAGCGTCAATCCATGCACCGAGAGCTCCCCAATTCGATTCCCAGTCAGAGCACATGCCCAGATTGTGGGCCCGGTCCCCAGTGAGGGGCATGCTGGAGGTGGCCAATCGATGTTCTCTCTCATCGATATTTCTGTCTCTCTCTCCCTCTCCCTTCCTCTCTCACTAAAAATCAATAAAGAAAAAAAAATGTACTGGAAGATTGAGTCAAAGTAGATCAAATTTCCTTTAAAACACTAACACCCCCGGCCCCCCTCCAAACCCCAAACTAGGTCAACTTCTTAAGCACCACCATGAGGTGAGCCAAGCTGTCATTTTGACCTTGCTTTGCTTTAATTCAGGAGCCTATTTAGAAATGTAACGAGTAACCCTCTTCATTCGGCTCAGCTAGCAGAGCTAATAGGCTTCTAATTAATTTCCAGAAGATGGCTGTTATAACTAACAGGTTTTAAACATTTGGTTGATTGGGGAAAATAAATTGAATATAATGTAGTTGATTTGGAAAATTAGTTTTCATTCTATGTGCTTACCATAATAGTGTTTATTTTAAGTGTACACGATTCCATTAAGAGTCTCAGAACACCACCAGGCTGTTTTCATCCTTACAGAGTCCTATCCAACTTTAAAAAAAAAAAAATCAATTTACATTTTGATTTTTGTTGGCCTTTATTTGAGGGCAGGTTAAATTCATTTTTGTGCCTTTAATAAAAATCTTCCGCTTGCTAATAAAGCAACAGGCCCAAATACTTCAGAATGATCCCTGGGATACCTCAGTCAGAGGCACACTCATTGAATGCAAATCCTGGGGGACAGGTCTCAGCACCAAGTACGATGAACCAGTTACTGCACTGTTGACGAAGCTTCACTTGATTCCTCCTGACAACCATTTAAACAATGAATGTTGGGAAGTGTCCCTCAGAGAATCAACTACAATGGCAGGGATCAGAGCTTTTATATTTAGTTAATACTATTTTTAAAAGAAGAAAATATTTCTTCCTGAAGGGATTATGGGAAGCCTTATTAAAGACACCTGCAAACAAAACAAGTGACAACAGATCTTTATCATAATTGATAACTGAGTTATCCTTTAGACAAAGCTCCTTTCTTGGAGGCAATAACATGGAGATTCACCTTTGCTATTAGATTCAAGAAATCAGCTAATTGGGACTACTGGAATTCAACAATGATATGATTCACCAAGATTAAGTGAGTGGTTCTAAAAAACCCTTGTCTCTCAGGTTAGAGAAAAGCACCGTGAGACTAAAATTTTTTCTCTTCAGGCTGAGAATGTTTTATACTGAAATCAGGTAGCATCTATTCCTGTTTCTCCATCTGTTGTGCAAAAATATGTGCACGACATATTTTAGCTCACTATTGTGTGCTAAGCCCGGGCCAGCCAGCTTTGGAAACTCAACCTTGGCCTAGCTTACAGAGGCAAAGAAAAGGAACCTTTCACAGAACCTTCTCAAAGTAATTACCAATCACGTCAAAATGTGACATTGTTTTGGTGAAAGAATGCTTCTTGGGAATATATTACATAGCTCAACCCAGCAGGACACGTTTATAAAATAAGTATGCAGAAGAGGGGGAAAAAAAAGAAATCAGACACCTTTGTTTGCAGTACAAGTCCTCTGCCTGAGTCTCGGCTTGCTTCACGCTGGTAAACAGTAGATGCCTCTACCCATGGGCTGCGCTGTTTGCAGTCAGACAGTTATTGCTGCATTTCTGTGTGGTTGGCAGGAATACTTGCAATCATCTTAGGCCTGCTACTGATTTTTCTGACATAGCTGATTTTCCAAATTAAGTAATTCTGGCTCCTTTCTTAACAGTAGCTCCAGAAGCGATAAGAAGGAGGGGGACTATCAGGATCAAGCGTTAACTGCTCACCCCAACAGACGCGCATCTACTTCCGGGTCCCCAACTGAGTTCGTGATCAGACCACTGTAAACGGGCACTTAGGGAAAGTGACGAAGGTTCATGAAGTATTAGCAACAGCAGCTGCAATTTTAGAATATGTGCAGCCTTTGATGAATGCATTTCATTTCCAAAATAAACACTTGGAAACGAAGAAGAAAGTCCCCCAGCCTGAATCAATGAAACGTAGACAGAATCAGACAGCAGAAAAAACATCCTACATGAACAACAGCACTGAATGAGGAGATGAGAGATGAGATGACCCCAAATTATTCCTTAAAACCCCAAGTTCACAGACGAAGCAAGTGCTTTAAAGAAGGCATTTCTGTGGGCTTGTTGATTTTGCTTAAAAAAGACACTTTAAGACTTAGAGCCATCTACGTGTGAAAGAAAAGCTGCCTAGAAAAACAAAAAAGACATTTTTCGAGATGACTTTGATCCTGTACTCAAATTATTGGCTTAATCACTTAATCGGACTTGCCTTTAAAGGCTTTGCATCTGCAATAACTGCTCTTCATTGTCCTTGTTTAACAAAGTATTATTTTCACCTTATTATTACTAATCTTTTCTTTGTAAGTAACCACACCTGGTTTTATCCACACCAAAAAATGGTGCAGTAAATATTTTTCCTTTGTGGTAATACAATGCATAATTTAGTTAATCTAGGCTATCTTTCCGTGAGAGGTGATTGTTTCTATATTATGAAATGTGCTCACAGCCGGCGCCAGATACCTGGAAGGCAGATGGAGAACCACTTACCCAGCATGTAGCTGCTTTGAACCAACCTCGACATGACTGTGTAGCCACTCCTACACACGAGGCATTACTCATGTTAACTTAGCCTCCGAATCACCACCACGCCTTTCTTTGACAAACATGGCCTTTTATTAAGATAACATGACACATCACCAGGCTCCAAGGCCCACCCTTAGCCCCCATGAGAGGGCCTTGAAAAATTAGAAACTGCTGTTTTCCGTCTGAGAACTTGACATTACTGTTACGTTACCTGGATGAAATCTAGAAATGTCAGGGGCAGCAAGTCATCCATATGTCCAATGTCTTTGGAGAAACGATTTAAAATTCTTCCTGCAAGAACAGGATATGAGAAATTACTCATTTCCCCTGATAGGCCCTTTAAGAGAAACAGTTCACAAATACATCAAATCAATATTTTAAATGCACATGTATTTAAGATATTACACATTCATATGAAATAAGCCCATGTCAGTAGTAAAGAAAGAGAAAAATGGGATGATACCTAAAGAGAAACAAAAATACCACCCAATGGCAGTGGGCAGGCACCTAAAATTTGGCCCTGATTTTTATTTATTTATTTTCTTTCTTTCTTTATTTTTATCCTCACCCGAGGACATTTTTCCATTTTTTGTTCAGACAGAGTGGGAGGGAGAGAGAGGAAGAGAGAGAGAGAGAGAAACATCGACGTGAAAGGGACACACTGAGTGGCTGCCTCCCACACTCATGACCCAACCAGGGCCGGGGACAAACTGCAACTGAGGTACGTGCCCTTAGCGGGAACCGAACCCAGGTCTCTCTGGACCACAGGCTAACGCTCTAACCGCTTAGCCAAACTGGCCAGGGCTGGCCGTGATTTTTAAAAGATAGCAGAAGACAATGTTGTGACAGTATCTGGAAACGTTGGTGAATTTCAGAGGATTCCCTCTTTTTGGATCCCATATAAAACTTCAACCCGCGTGCTAAGTAGATAAATAAACAACTGCAAAATACATGTATTGATCCTAATTGTTACACTAATTTTGCTTTAGCTATCAGAATTCATTTTACTGAGTGGTACTTTTTACATAAATGTAATTATAACCTCTATCCCCCGACCCCGAGATGGTTCACAGCACCTCACATTTTGGGGAAATTTGGAATCCTGCTGATTTCTAGTTGAGTTTATTTCTGGGGAAATAGGTAGTTATTTTAAGAAGTGCACCGGGTGTGACAAACACAAGCTTACTCCTGAAACATCCACGAAGACAACAGGACTAAAGGCAGAAAAACAGAAGCACTATTTAATGATGAAGGATCATTTCTTATCACTGATTTTACATATCCCTCAGAATCCAGGAAAATAGTACATCGTAAAGTTTTCAAAATCAGAAGAACAGAACTAATTTCTAATAAATATCTTGTCTCCAAGGATTCCATTAAAAAAACTAAAGTGGCGTGCACGCGCAGCCCACTTTGGTGTAGGCAACTCTTGAGAAATGTGTTTATGTCAGCTCTGAACTTCTGTAATTGATGCTTCGAGAAACCAGACTGCAGGTGAGACAGGTGCAGGGCACTCTTCCCAATGTTTGCCAGAGGGACTCCCTCCGCAGGCCCTTCATCCCAAGCCACAGCTGGCCCATGCGTGGTGAGGGGCTGGAACTGAGCTTCCACTGCCCGAGAAATGTTGCCTCTGCTGTCCTCCCACCAGGCCCCTGGGCTCAGCCGGGACGCCCAGGGTGTGGCCAACGAGGAGCTGGAGCAACTGGAGGCTTTCACGCTTGGCCAGGCCATGCGATTACAAGCTGGGCCTCAATGTTCCTGTCTCAGGCTTAGGAAACACAGACTCTAGAAACCATCTTTCAGCGACACCTCTGGCAGCCCAGTGACAACTTTTCTTTAGAGGGTAAATCTGAGGATTAAATGGGCTCATGCATGTGAAACAATCCAGTCACAATGCCAGGCATGCAAACAGGTGCCCAAAACCAAAGAAACTCAAGGTGAGAAAATTCCTATTACTCCGGATCTGCAGTATGTCACCTGGGAAGTCTACTAGGCAGATGGTCGACGGATCAAAACACAGATTCTGATTTGGTAGCCATGGGGTGGAGTTTGAGATTCAGCACTTCTGCCAAAGCTCCCAGGTGATGCCCTTTCTGCTGATCCCCAGACCAGGCTTTGAGGGACAAGAGGTTTGGTTATTATTTAATCAGCTGTACTTTGGGAACATTAACATCAGATGGGAAATTTTCAACAGTCTTATGGATTCTGTGGCCTATTTTTTAATTTCTCAAAGTATCACTCACAAAATAAGGAAAATGTGTCAAAAGATGCTTAAGGCATATTTAGATGCTTGTTATTTCGTCAACAGAAAAGGACAACTTTTTAACATATGCAGGATTCAGAAGCACGGTAAGTAAGTATGGTTCAGCTTACAAAGAGTTGAAAATAATCTTCACATAAAAAAATAATAATGAGCCCTGGCTGGTTTGGTTCAGTGGTAGAGCATCGGCCTGTGGACCAATAAGTTGTGGGTTTGATACCGGTCAAAGGTACATACCTCGGTTGCAGTTTATCCCTGGCTCTGATCAGGTTGTGAGGGAGGCAACCAGTCAATGTGTCTCTCTCACATTGATGTCTCTCTCTCTCTCTCTCTCTCTCTCTCTCTCCCTCCCTCCCTCCCTCCCTCCCTCCCACTCTATCTGGTGATAAATGGGAAAAGTATCTCTTGGGTGAGGATTAAAAATAATAATGATAATAAAGCTACACAGAGATGAACAGTATGTGAAACTATCCCTTTTACCTTCCACCAGAAGTGAGAGTCCTCGGACACCCACGTTTGGCAAAGAGCGTAAAATACAAGGAAAACAAACAACTGAGAAAAACTATCTCCCCACAAGGCTTCTACAATTGAAACTGAACTTTTATTCACTAAGAGGCCAGTGTAGAAAACATGAGATTAGAAGGGTCAAGAGTTACTTCCTTGCTCTAAGAAACAAGGAAGAGAATGAACAGTGTTTGCAGAGTATTTCATCTGGCTTTATGATTGACAATTGTAGCCAGAGCTGTGATTTCAAGTTCATGGCCTCGTGGTCATAAGGTTTTCCCAAAGGTCTCCGAATTAAATCCTTATGATAACTTCCCTTCACACACATGCCATGGCTCTTCATCCAAATGGCATGTGGCCCCCGCTACAGCATCTCCAGGGATGTAGAGCGAAGGGGGACACACTGTGACCAGAGGGACCTGGTCCATTTTCACACTGTCCTTCCAGCTTTCTTACATTAAACCAAATCTCTTCTTCCTGGAACATCCAACCAGTGCTGTTTATTCTGTCCTTGTAACCACACAAAGGGGATGTCACTTCTCTGGACATGACAGTCCTTCAAATACTTGAAGAAAGTTAATCATGTCACTTCCAGACATCTGACACTCAACTAGTCCTTGGTGCCTCAATGATCCCTCATAAGGCGAGATGTCCCAGCTTGGCCCCTGCCTCCTGCCCAGACTCAGATGGCCTGTCTCAGTTAACGCCTGGTGCCTAGGATTAAAATCAACACCCCGGGTATTATTTGATGACTATGAGGTAAAGTAGTAACACCATCTTCCTATTCTGCACAGGACATAGCCAATCACTGTAAATTCTGGTGGCCCGATCACTTTTTGGACATAAACACCAAGTCTGAAACAAGTCGATGTATAATTTTAATTTTCCTCTATGTTGTTAGAATGATTGGGAAGAGAGGGGGAAAGGAGGAATGGAGTGAAGGGAGGAGGGGGGAGGATGACAAAGGGGGGAAGGATGACAAAGAGGTGAAGGAAGGAGGGAGGGAGGGAGGGAGGGTAGGACGTCCCTTGAAGACTACACTATCAGAGAACCACTCAGGATCCCCCTAACTGCTCTGGTTCACCTCCTTCTATCTTGTCCACAAGACAGAATATCATGAAACATGTCACAGAAATTCTTGTCACATACAGATATATAAGTGATCACACTGTAAGAACTGATTCTACCATCTAAGCTAGAACCTGCACCTCTAGAATTCCAGCACCTCTCCCATGGCCAGTATTCTTCAGCTTACTTAAAATTAAACTGTAATCTAAAACTTAGAAGTCCTCATGTCTACTTTAAGCCCTATTCTTAAATACTGAGGTATATTTTATGTCTCATAAAATTCACCAGTTCAGGGGCTAAATTCAATAAATTTTAATAAGTTAACTAAGTGATGCAACCATCACCAAAAATCAGTTTTAAGACATTTTTATCCGGCCATAAGATCCCCCATGCCATTTAAAGCTGACTCTGTTTCCCACCCCTAGCCTCGGGCAACCACTAATCTACTTGCTTTCCCTGTCAATTTGCCTTTTCAGGACACATCACACGCATGGAATTGTACATTACGTGGTCTCTGTGTCTAGCTTCTTTCTCTTAGCCTAACACATCTGAGGTTCATCCATGGCCAAAACGTGTGTCAGTAGTTCCTTCCTTTTGAGCCCCATTCTTGGGCATGGAAGTGGTCTTAAGGACCAGCAAGCACAGCCCCATGTCAGGCCACACCTGACACTGAGGGTTAGGAACTCCTCAATGTTTTGAATTTCTTCATGTGTGCTCACATTAGCCTCACTGACGGTTCTAGATCCCAACTCCTTTGGAAAGAACTGGCTGTCGGTTTGATAGCCCTGCAGTGTCCAAAGCCAGGGCAGCTGGGTCTGAGCCAGGTTCTGCGTCTGGGAGAGTGCAGAGAGAAAGGAGGGGAGAACAAGTAAAAGAACCACTGTCCTAGTGAGGGGTGAAAACTAGCTCCAAGTAGCCTATCAGGGTCCCTCCAAAATGGCAGAGAATGACCTGTACCTTCCAGGTGCAATGCCACATGATGGGACAAAACTGATCCAAAGGACAGGTGTTCAGTGGAGCCTGGAGATGGCCCCTGGGCTGAAAGGATCATTGTGCACATGAGGGAGCCAGTAAGGAAGCCGAGCCAGTCTGGGCTTCCGGCATCATTCAACACAAACCGATCTGGCTCACAGCAGCCTAAGGACAAGAGCGGGAGTGGTAGAAGTCTATGAGCTCTACATTTCCATCGCCTTTGCAGTTAGAGTAGATCATCAATGAGGTGGCCGCTAAAGAATGCCATGAAATAGAAGGGGCAGCAGGAACTAGGAACCCCTCACTGCAAAGCCCCAGTCCTGTCCTCCTCTGGCACTTAGCAGCAATGTGCCTTCAGGCAACTCATCCAACCTCCACTGAGACTCAAATCCCTTACCTGTAAAAGGGAGATGACCGTATTTGTCTAGACTACTTCACTGGATAAAAGATTATGAAGATAAAAGCTCTGCTTATATGAAGGCACCTT